TAGGTGCACATGGCTTTCAAGTAGAGGGGGTCTGTACTGTGTTACTACACCTTTACAATCTGTGTGTGTGTGTGTGTGTGTGTGTGTGTGTGTGTGTGTGTGTGTGTGTGTGTGGCAAGTCAACAGGTTTACAGATTTAAATATGTGGTTTTGTTCACATATGCACAATAAAATGTGCTGAACTCCTGCTGTGTGTGTGTGCGTGCGGAGGTATGTGCCTTTGGTGTTGGATTGTCTGCATTCCTATACATCCAGTAGCTACAGTAGCTCCCCATCACTGGCTGCTGCAGCTGCTGCTGATGCTGCATCAACAGCTGCTGCATTGGCAATGCGACAACATAAAGTAATGCATTGCAGCTAGAACCAGCCAATATGTAGCTTGTTTATGATAGCATTTAAATCTGCGGCTTCCCTCGGCCCGTGTTTTTCTGCAACAGTGGTTCTCAACCGACTCTTGATAGATTGCCTTTTAATAATGTAGGCAATCACATTTTAATGAATTCAATATGAAACATGATTGATGCCCTTATTGATTGCTAAACTGACGAAGGCCTATTATCTTTATTGATGTTGAGAATCATTCGTTCCCGGGTCTGGGGATGGTGTGTTTGCAGATGCTTTTCTGGGCCCTTAATTGCACCATTTTCTGCCACTGCTCTTTCTGTGACATGCTTGTTGTTGTTTTACATTACATCAGTAGTAACTTTAGGATGAGCATGGTTCTATGGTGCATGTTAGTTGATGGATGGGCCCTATGGAAGTATTTTGAGAAGGCTGTTGTCTTTGTTGTGCTGTGAATCTGATCTGACGTCCCCTGTGTGTCTCAGGGCGAGCTGGAGAGACAGCTGCTGCAGGCCAACCCCATCCTGGAGGCCTTCGGCAACGCAAAGACTGTCAAGAACGACAACTCCTCTAGATTTGTAAGAGCAAACAAGATACATTGCACAACTAGATAGATGTTTATATTTATATATTTATATTACCTCCCTTCATTACTGTCCGTTTGATGATTTACTGTACAATTGAAATGAAACATAAAACCTCTCTTTCTTTGTTTTTCAGGGTAAATTCATCCGCATTAATTTTGATGTGGCGGGGTACATTGTTGGTGCCAACATCGAAACCTGTATCCTTTTTCATACTATCAAAGTCTTTGAAAGATTGATTTCCTCTTGCTGTCTAAGTTAGCTGATATATGCAGAGTTTTTAGGCGAAAAGGCTTCCGACCCAAGGTGCTTTCTGAAACTTATGGAAGTACTAGATCATAGATTGTTTTAATATCACGTATACATTAATTTTACATATGCTATATTCAGATTTTAAAAGCTAAACGTGGAAAAGGACAGAAGGAAAATGTATCTAGTTTCAGCTGTATATTTCCATGACCATATAAATCCAGACCTCCTGGAAAAGTCCCGGGCCACCCGTCAGGCCAAAGACGAGAGGACGTTCCACATCTTTTACCAGCTTCTGTGTGGAACTTCTGAAGAGACAAAAGGTGAGCCAAATGATAATAGTTGCAAACATGTGAAGACACAGTAAATTGCTGCTATACTAAGAAACATACTGTATGTGTTTCTGCAGAAAATGTATCTTTGTCCTGTACTTATTCATGTTGTTAGCGCTTAAATCAATCACTCTGTTTAACCCTTATTTTCCCTTACATAGTGGACCTGCTTTTAGGAACTGCTGATCAGTACCGCTTTCTCAGCGGAGGCTCCATCCCTGTCGCTGGTCAGAGCGATGCAGACAACTTCACCCAGACCATGGACTCCATGGTTATAATGGGCTTCACCCCAGAGGAGTCGCTATGTAAGAGAGGAGGCGATGGAGAGGAGAGAAAGTTGTTTGCTTTTTGCACATTTGATCCCTGCTATTAATCACCTCCCCCCTCCCTGTCTCACCTCTCCTCAGCCATGCTGAAGGTGATCTCCTCTGTGCTCCAGTTGGGGAACATTTCCTTCATGAAGGAGAAGCACCACGATCAGGCTTCGATGCCTGATAACACAGCCGCTCAGAAACTGTGCCATCTGCTGGGCATCAACGTGCTGGAGTTCACCCGGGCCATCCTCACTCCCAGAATCAAAGTGGGTCGAGAGTATGTGCAGAAGGCCCAGACCAAAGAACAGGTACGATTTGTGTGCATATGTGTTTTTGCTCTTACAGATAAACATGTTTTTGTCTATGAAGTGTATCTGACAGAGTACCCTTCCTCATCTAGGCTGACTTTGCTGTGGAGGCCTTAGCGAAGGCTTCATATGAGCGTCTGTTCAGATGGCTGGTCCACAGGATCAACAGAGCTCTGGACCGCAGGCAGAGGCAGGGAGCCTCCTTCATAGGCATCCTGGACATCGCTGGGTTTGAGATCTTCCAGGTTTGTACATATAATGATTGTTAGTTTGATGTAAATTATTTAAAAAAACATCATGAAGTATGATCAATTGTTCTGATATATTTGTTATAAGGCCTGTTTTCTTTGTATTTCAAAATGTTTTAAGGACCTGTTACAATGAGTACCAGATCGCGGATAGCATTAGAAGCATGTAGATGTGTGGATCGTCAGTGTATTGTCAAACGTTGTCTAACAAGCGTTTTTCCTCTGCAGCTGAACTCCTTTGAGCAGCTATGCATCAACTACACCAACGAGAAGCTGCAGCAGCTCTTTAACCACACCATGTTCATCCTGGAGCAGGAGGAGTACCAGCGGGAGGGCATCGAGTGGAACTTCATCGACTTCGGCCTTGACTTACAGCCGTGCATTGACCTCATCGAGAAACCAGTGAATACACATATTAATAATTTACCATTTGAATGGCAGATGCTAAGGGTCTATAATGGTCATATCAGTTATGTGCATTGTTTGGTGAGTGTGGGAAGTTCCAGATTGAACCTGTGGGACATAGAACCTGTTCACTTCACCACAGTCAACCACACCCATGGATGAAGAAGGCAAAGTGGATTAAAGGACATGAATAGAAACACAAACGTAGTGGGCACACGCTCTGCTTTGAGGCATTGTTATTTCAACTATAAAGTCCAGCTTTCACTCACAATAAATGTCTCTGTTAGGCCCACCCGCCTGGTGTGCTGGCGCTGCTGGATGAAGAGTGCTGGTTTCCCCGGGCAACCGACCGCTCATTTGTGGAGAAGGTGTCCGCTGAGCAAGGCACGCATCCGAAATTCTTCAAACCAAAGCAACCACGCGGGGAAGCAGACTTCTCCATCATTCACTATGCGGGCAAGGTATCCCATCATTTCTTAACATCTTTCCGTGTTTCCCGTATTTACCATTTAAAGGAATGCACTGAAATGTCCCCTGCCCTCCGTAATGTCTCTCAGGTGGACTACAAGGCACATGATTGGTTAGTGAAAAACATGGATCCTCTGAACGACAACGTGGCCTCTCTTCTCCACCAGTCGTCTGATCACTTTGTGTCAGAGCTTTGGAAGGAGGGTGAGACTGGTTCACGTTTATTCATAATCATGTACAGTAAACCTATCATCTGTAGACTTCATGTAAACCTTTTAAAAAAGTGTACTTTTAACAACAATATAATACATTTCTGTTTTCTTTATTTTATGCTTGTCAAGTATTAACAATGTCTTTTTTGGTGCAAAATGTTCTAACTTTACGGTATTTCTTTCTCTTCTCTTTCTCTATCCTGTAACTCTTCCATCTATCTGCTGGCTCTCACTCTCTGCTCCTCTCTCTGTTATTCCTCCTTCTTGTTTTCTCCTTTGTTCACTTCCCTGGTCTTTTTTCCTTCTGTCCCCTTTCCACTCATTCGGTGCTTGCCTTGACTCCTTGTTTCCTTTCCTCTTCTGCCTTCCTTCCTTCTTTCTGCATCAGATATTCAAACTCTTCCTCGTGTATACTTCTTTGATTCCTTTGCCACAATCCAGGCTAATGGCTCCGACAGTAGGTTTTTCTCCTCCTCTGTGTCACACTCACATTCCTCACTCTGCTAACATGGCTCCTTTGTTTAACTGTCTGTCCCCTGTTAGATTGCAGTTTGTGTTTAGTTGTGCTGTGGTGTCACGAGCTGTTACATGTAGTTAATTATTGTTTTGTCTTGTCACTGTGCTGTCTGCTCAGTTCTCTCTTTGCTCTTCACCAAGTTTTGCTTTTAGTGACAGTGCTGTGTTTGTGTGATCTAGTTGTTTCCATGTATAGAGTAGAAGTAATGAATCTAGGCTGTGTAGAAATGTCCAGGTAAAGGTAGCAGCATGCTCACGGTTAGTCACAAAAATCCCACTCAGGATCACATAAGAGTTGTGCTGCAAAATGCGTCCACAAACATCTGCCACTGGAGCGGTTTTATGAAAACCAACCAGGCGGAAATGTGATCCTGATTGAGCTCTGGAGATGCAACATACTGGTATACAATACTACCATTTAAAGAGATTTAAAAGCCACCTCAGTATTGGTCTAATCCTTTTTATATTGTAAATATTTGGCTAATTGTGGAATTGCCTACATTTTTCTTAGAGTAAATTGCTAAACAAACCTGTCAACTAAGGATCGACTGAATCATGACACACATTTGCGGTCATGCCTGTCGAGACATGTTAAAACAAACAGGGGAACCTAAAAAATGTGTCATGCCCCGTGTTAAGACTGTGTATGTCACTGGCCAATATGGGCGAGCAAATACAAACTGCTGTCATTGAATTTAACACCATGTTGTTGCATCTCTAATGAACTCCTCTACCATCTGATATCATCTGTGCAGAGACTTGATAGCAGATGTGTAAGTACTAGTTGATAGCCATTACGGTAGTGTGGAATTAACACAGACATCATCGTGCCAAATCTGGCAAACACTATTTTTTACTCCACTAAACTGAGGCCCCGCTCTATGTTTGCGTCCAGTGGACAGGATCGTGAGTGTGGACCAGGTGTCGACAGGCGACAGCAGCGGGCCGGTCTCGTTCGGAGGGTCGGGCCTGAAGACGAAGAAGGGGATGTTCAGGACCGTTGGTCAGCTGTACAAAGAGTCTCTCACAAAGCTGATGGCCACACTGAGGAACACCAACCCCAACTTCCTCCGCTGTATCATCCCCAACCACGAGAAGAAGGTAAGGAAAAGGATAGGCACAGATTTAAACTAAAACAGACAAATAGCAGGTAGAAAAAATAAGAAATGTTTGATTTAAAATGTACATTCTTGTACCTTTAATTGTGGTCAGGCTGGTAAGCTGGCCTCTAACCTGGTTTTGGACCAACTGAGGTGTAATGGAGTTCTGGAAGGGATCCGTATCTGCAGACAAGGCTTCCCTAACCGCATCCCATTCCAGGAGTTCAGACAGAGGTGTGTGTGATTGTATGTGAGCCCTTCCTATGGCTCCTTTTTACCTCAGACTTATTTCCTTCACTCAAACACTCATATTTACAAAACCACATTTGTCTTCCAGATATGAGATCCTAACACCTAATGCTATTCCTCGCACCTTCATGGATGGCAAACAGGCATCAGAGCTCATGGTGAGTCATTGTTCTGGAGCTATGAGAATACAACTCACTATATAAATGCTGGAAAACTCAAACCACTGTTTCCTCGTTTAGATCAAAGCGTTGGAGCTGGATCTCAACCTGTTCAGGGTCGGTCAGAGTAAAGTCTTCTTCAGAGCTGGAGTCCTGGCCCATCTGGAGGAAGAGAGAGACCTGAAGGTCACAGACACCATCATTCGCTTCCAGAGTGCCTCCAGAGGCTACCTCGCTCGCAAGTAAGAGCATTATCTCATTTCAAACATCAGCAAAGAGAGAGAGGCTAAAATGTTGTTCCTGTTGGAGCACATCTTCCGGCGCAGACTGAAAACTCATCTCTTTGGACTCCACTTCGAGCAATAAAATGACTAACAAAGCACTTATATACTAATAAAGGACTGGCTTATCTAAAGCCAGTTGAGTAGCACTTGAAATGTTTTGGCTCTATGAAACCTGATGTACTTATATGATTCTGTCTTCTTCAAGTTTGTATCTTCTTGGTCGAATGCACTTATTGTAAGTTGTTCTGGATAAAAGCGTCAGCTAAATGTAATGTAATGTTGGTGTAACACATTGATTGCCTTTGTTTATTTATTATCAGCTAGTCAGTTTCTTACCGAATCAATCTTAATGGATAGTGGTAGACAAACATCTACTGTAGCACACAAGGGATTTCTCTCTAAGGAGAACTCGCTGCTAATCTGGAGGCCGTTTTGTATTTCCTTCTTAAAGGAGCATTAATATTTAATCCTTTGTCAGCCCATATCAGTGACTCAGTCTTTTAAACAACATTGACAGCTATTTGGCCTGTAAAATACATGAATATTAATGTTATATTTTACAATGGAGGCTAACCAATCAGAGGTCAGTTTATTTTTATAACACATTTAATGCACAAAGGAAGTTAAAGTATACAAGAAGTAATAAATAAGAGCTTTTACCTGAAATATAATATGTTCTGTTAGATAGCCACTACCTATATTCATTTCAGACATGTCACGATAAGCCCATATCGTTTTGTTGACTCATTCAGTTATTGTTCATTTAAAATTCATTAAATTATGTCTGCCACCTTATATTTTTTTTATATTTAAGGATTTACTGTTGTGCCACAATAAATTCACCTAATTTTAATGAGTTAAAATATCAATATTGTGGCTTTCCATTAACATTAACATCGATCGATATGAGGCGTGTGGTGCAGTGGATTGTGTGTTGGTTTTCGGATCAGGGGGTCACAGGTTCAAACCCCACTGTCGTTGTGTCCCTGAGACACTTCACCCCAGATTGCTCCTGTGGGGATTGTCCACAGTATTGAGTATGTAAGTCGCTTTGGATAAAAGTGTCTAACAAGTCAAATGTAATGTAATATGACTGCGATTAAATATACTTCTGCCAGGGGGATGCCACTCCTCAAAATCTCCTGCCACCCCATGAATATTTTTCTAGATCCGCCCCTGCGTTAAGCCCATATCGTTTTGTTGACTCATTATATTGTTTTTTGACTTCTCAGAGCCTTCACGAAGAAGCAGCAGCAGATGAGCGCTCTGAGGGTGATGCAGAGGAACTGTGCCGCTTACCTCAAACTCAGGAACTGGCAGTGGTGGCGGCTATTCACCAAGGTACTGAGTGCACCACTACATTACAACACAGATGTAAAATAAACAATAAACGTAGCCAATGGTGATCTCTGGATCTGCTGTAAAGCTTCGGTTTACTTCTATTCTCCTTTTGATTGAATTTATTTTCAGTTGTATTAGCCAATCAAACTAGCATTGTTTTTAAATGTTCTGCTGAAATGTGATTGCAAATATAAATAGAGATCCTTACTAATTGGTTCAGGAAGGAAAATATTTAGCATCCATGCTCACAATAGACACAAATATTTACTGAAGAAAACTCAACTGGATTGGGTCATTTAACTTTGCAATATGTTGTATGATCCCTACATTGACTTTAGATCCTTGGCAAAGGAACAAAAAATGTAGAAAGCCAGGGAATTAAATCATAAGGGATGCAGGAATTGGGACGTCCCTCACATTGACCTCTGACCCCGTTGTTCTGTGCCGACCAGGTGAAGCCCCTGCTGCAGGTGACCCGGCAGGATGAGGAGATCCAGGTCAGGGAGGCGGACCTCCAGAAGGCCAAGGATCACGTCACCCGAGTGGAGCAGGACTACACAGACCTGGACAAGAAACACGCTCAGGTAAACAAACCTCCATCTTGTTCTGCTGTCTACCCTACAATGAAAAGCCCATCCTATCAATCAGTGGCCGTTTCTCAATCGCGAGGATGCTTGCTTGGTAGCACATGTCTTCCGAGTCACTTCCTTCAGAAGCTAGGCAAGAATCCTTCCTGGCATTCGGAAAACGAAGAGTGGAACAGGCTAGCAAGTGTGCAGGTGTGTGTCATATGAGAGGCCCGCCTTACATTTTCCGCCACAGATTTGGGGAAATTGGTCCGTGCGCAAAGCATTGTGGGGATTTGAAGGACGCGAAGTCTACCCATGTGCAGCCTCAAACTTACCCCCAAACCAAGGATGCAGCCTCGGTGGAATTCCAAGTATGCTGGAGATTGGAACAGTCCTTCGGCGGCACTCGATGACGTAGCATCCTTGAAATATTGGCTTGGAAGCCAGTATCCTCGAGATTGAGAAACGGCCAGTGCCTCGCT